ATACTCTGTGATAATAACTCTAAGAACAAGAATTCAAACTAGTTTCAAAAATTAGACTGAAAATCAAGTAAAAAAGATAAGTAACATAAAGATACCTCTTATGTAACTATTGTTAAATTAGAGATTTCTGCCTTATTTTTGGAAAAGAACAAATTAGCTTGGGCTTGTGGGATTCTGGGACCAGCTGCAGGTCATATCTAGGACCGTACAGATAATGACAAGATTATGTCAATATTTTAACACCAGACTGACCATTTGAGTCATCAGGTGTTTGGTTTAATTTGTTGAAATAAGGGAGTTAAGAAGTTGGGATAATTATTAGTGGAGGAAGACCTGATCCAGTGGTACTATAGAAAACATTCACTGGAATATTATATAAGGTCTATTGACTGATACAGTAGAATTGTTATTGGATCTTTTCACTGGAGAGATCATGGGTTTCGACAATAATAATGTCAGAAATAGCTACTCACTGCTGCTTCCTCTAACCTTACCCAGATTATTCTTCATGTTGAACTGCCTTTTCCTCTGCCTCCCAATCTATTACTACTTAACTTCTAACCTGCTGCAATGATCATGCCACATATTTCTTTCTGTGTGAAAACACCACTGGGTTTCATTCCATTTATCTTTTTCACCATCTCCTCAGACTCTACTAATATTTCACCACCATTTCAAAAACTTTGGCAGTACTGTTCTTTCTTCTTTCCATTTCAGTATTTTTTTTTGCCAAGCATAGTGATATCAGTAGCCATGTGACATCTCATCAAAAACATTAGTTCAATATTTGTGTCTTGCAACTACTAAGTTTCAACAACTACTAGTGCAACAACTAAGTGTAAGCACTTAACAAATACTTATATAATTGAAGGACTGCATGGACATTTACTAGGCATTTGGTACCTGCCATTTCCCTGCACTACCACTAGGAGCTAGAAGTATAAAAGTAAGATGTAATCTATTTTCTTTTTTTTTTTTTTAGAATAGCCTGGATAAACTTTATTGGAGAAACAAAATGGATGTCCTTTGCCTTAAAGATGACTGCTTTGAAATTGTCTTGATAGAGATGTTTATATTCTTTCTTACGTTCTGTCTCCCTTACATTCTTCAGTGCTTCTTTGAGTTGTTTTTTAATATGTAAATCATTAATATTTTTATTTTGTGTGTTTGTGTAGGAGGGGTATATAAATAAAACTGAATAACTGTTTTCACGATGTCATGCAAGGTCCCAATTCTCTAATCAAATTTTTATTTTAAAAAGACTCAAATGCCCAGTGTAGTGGTACATCCCAGCACTTGAGAGGCTGAGACACAAAGATCATTATGATTTTGAGGCACAAAGATCATTATGATTTTGAGGCACAAAGATCATTATGATTTTGAGGCCAGCCTGGGCTACATAGTAAGTTCAAGGCAAGCCTGAACTACATAGCAAGATGTTGTTTCAAAAAAAACCCAAAACCAACCAACCAAATGAAAACATTCAACCTACCCAATTGAGAATGATCATGTCAAGGAGTGTTTCAGTAATGCTTTATATATACATGCATATGATGATGGTGTTGTGATATTCATGTTAGATATAAATTTCCATGATAATAGATTTCAAAATTATTACCTTTTAGTGCTGGGGATTGAACCCACGGTCTCATACATGCTAAGTACATGCTCACTATCACTAACCTATATTCCTAACCATATAGTTTTTATATTGATAGACAAAGAAATGGAATAAAACTAATAATGTTCAGCACTTTATTAGGGAATTTTAAAGATTACTTTGAAAGTGCTATGAATCTAGAGAAAAATTCAAACCTATAAGGCTGAATACATAAATAAAGATCATATTCTTATTCTTCTTTGATGTTTGGCTCCTCTGTAGTTTAGTAATTATAAACAGTCTCCATTTAGCTTCAAGTACTTGAGAATTCTAAGTATATCATATATAAGTATATTTGAACAAGTTCAAAACACATTATACTTCTCTATTTCGGTTTTGATTAAAATTTCTATAAAAGTAATAAAGAAGTAAAAAATAAAGTATAATAAAAATACCAGAAATCTAAATATGGTTTAAAATAAATTCAACAGTTTTTCATTGTTAGAAAGTTCACTATATAAAAAAGCAAGTAAAACTAAGGAGTTAGTTTTAGGCTAATATCACTGATCTTCTATGGGAACAAAAGTGTGGTTCATTTTATAAAATTCAAATTATATTACACATGAAAAATGGGAACCTGAATTTATAAAATGTTATAATTTAAAATAATATCTTTGATATATAGAAGCTAGATATATGCTTTCAAAATGCACATATGATAAAGATACAATGAAACTTTGTTCTTAGAGAAACAGATCGACTTTCTACAATAAATTTCTAAATGAATTCTCCCAAATCTGTAGTCTTACTTACCAGACAAATGCTAAATATAGGATAAGTTTGAGCTTGACGGTTCCATTAATTTCTTTCCATAATTTATACATTCTATTAAATAATTTTTATTTTCATGAATAGTTACCATTTAAAAGATTCATTATATACCAGCGACCAGCTGGCAGAAGGTGAGGACCTCAGCCTGCCACGTGGAGCCCCTCTCCATCCCACCCTCACCCCACCCCCAGCCACTAGCTTAGCCAGGCCGGTGGAGAAGGATCTTGGCCACCAGCAGCACCTGCCCTCACCCTTGCCTCTGGCCTCCTGGCTGTGCCTCGACCTGGTTCCACACTACAGAGGTACGGGGGCTCATAAAGGGCATTGTCCTGAGCTCCAGAAGATAGAGCAGAAATGAACAACAGAAAGAGGGCCTCTCTCAGGCTCCTTGATGAAAACTGAAGCCTACTGGAAAAGTGAAGAGAATCTCTGCAATAAAGGCACACCATTAGTTACTGGTTGATTTCTTGATAGCAGCCATTCTTTGTGGGGTGAGGTGGAATCTCAGTGTTGTTTTCATCTGCATCTCTCGA